TTATAATAAATATATGGGCGGGGTCGATAAAGCAGACCAGTATACAGGTACACACTGTTTCATGCAAAAGTCCCAAAAATGGTGGCGAAAATTATTTTTTTGGGGCTTGGAAATCTCAAGCATAAATTCGTATCTATTATATAAAGAAAATCAGAAGAAACACAATACAAACAAAAGTTACGCATTTGCAATTTGTACATCGCTTGGTGGATCAATTAGTTGGAGATTTTCGTGACACTGATCCCAAGAATGCTTCAACTTCTGGAACAGGAGAAAGGCTGAACGACCTTTTACATATTATTCGGCGGGATGATACAGGAAGGAGTAAAGACTATGTGGTATGTTCCAATCGGAAAATCAAAAGTGGAAGAAGAAAATCGAGATATTATTGTGCTACTTGTTCGGCTTGCACATAGATAACTGTTTCGAACGATACCACACCGTGCACGAACATAAAACGAGTCACATAAACATACCATAACCAAATATGTTTTTGCTGGATTCTGTCAAAAAATTTTGTTGTACTTAAATAAAGCTTTAGTTTTTATAACGCAAACGTTCGACGTGTATATTTTCTCTACTGCGTGCACCAATATCTCTCGTCCACAGCGACTCTCGCTCGTCAGGCGGCTCCGACCGCAAAGGGTTAATAGCAAAAATGTGTAACACACAAAAACAATTGTGTAGCATATGTGGTAGCAAGGACCGCCTAAAGAGTGAATGTACAAAAAAAAGGGTGCACCTGAACGCATTAACTGCATCAGAGCAAAGAGAAGAGACGTCAAGCACGAAGTTCATAACAGGGAATAATACCTTGAATTTAAACGTCATCTGGACCTGTACAATGGCTATAAAAATAGGACAGATTAATGCGCAGAGATCTGCAGCAGCTGCCGCAAATTTAGAACTCTTAATAAAGGAGCAAAATCTTGACATAGTCTGTCTACAAAAGTCTTTTTGCTGTAAAGGTAAGATTAGGGATTATAAATCTGCAAATCTGGTCAAGATAGAGCTGCGAAATTGTGCCCATACATGGGTAGCTGCTGTGGTAAACAGAGCACAGTGGAAATATTGCAAAATGTTGGATGTGAGAATGAATACATTTTGTGCTTCAAAGTCATAGCTGGTGATTCTGCTTTGATCATTATAAACATATACTACCAATATTCAGCTCCTCTTGAAGGCTTTTTGAACAAACTAGAAATGCTGATTAACAGTTTTTCAATGGAAAATATAATCATAACCATGAATGCAAATGCCAAATCTGAACTGTGGCATTCGGATACAACAGATAGAAACGGGGGGCTTGTAGAGGAGTTCGTATTTAAAAATAATCTTGTTATATTAAATAAACCAGATAATACATCGATTTATATGAGTCGAAGTGACCAATCTAATATATCTAATATAGATATCACCCTTGTCATTGCAAATTTAACATTAAATATAAGATGATGGATGGACAGTTGATAGCAGTTGCACGAGTGATCACAATATGTTGGTAACAGAAATAGCAGGATATGCCAAAAATAATAAAAAATGGAAAGTGAATTTAGGATACAATATCCGAAAGATAGATTGGCAAAAATTCAGAGATCAAATGGAACAAAATTTTAATGAAAATTTTATTGAATTGAAGACTATTTGATTAGATTTCCTGCGGATGAGGCAGTAAAAAAGTACAGTATTAGGTGCGAAAGAAAGTTCATACGGTTTTTGTTATTTTGATTTTAAATGCTCTATCTTCGGTTAAGTTGGTGTTAAATTGCATTGACTTTGTATATAATTTTAAAGTGCATTTTTCGCTCTGTAAAAATGTGATATTAATTTCATTTTTAAATTAGTTTTCCTGATTTCTCAGGCTGTTGAAAACAACATGAACAAAAAGCAAATTCGAAGAATTTTCCTATTCCAGTTGAAACTAGGTCGGAAGAACCTGCCAAAACAGCTGGCGATATCAACGAGGCGTTTGGCCCTGGGAACACTAACGAACGTACTGCACAATAGTGGTTTAAAAAATTTCAAAGCGATGACGAGAGCGCAGTGGTCGGCCATCAAATGTTGACAACAATGACCTGAGGACCCACCCTAGTTGAAGCCAATCGTACAACATCGTTCGGGAGCTTGCTCCTGAATTGGGCGTAACGCATACAACAATCTGTTAGCCATGTACAAAAAAATTGGAAAAACAAAAAAGCTTGACACATGGGTGCCGCACGAATTAAACGAACATAAAAAAAAATCGTCGTTTTGAAGTGTCGTCTGCCCTTCTCTTACGCAATAAAAATGATCCCTTTCTCGAACGAATTGTAACGTGCGGTGAAAAATGGATTCTTTATGACAATCGGTGACGATCGGCTCTGTGGCTAGACCACGACGAAACACCACGACGAAACTCCACAACGCTTCCCAAAGCCAAAATTTCACCAAAAGAAGGTAATGGTGACAGTTTGGTGGTCTGTGTTTGCCGGTTTGATTCATCACAGCTTCCTGAATCCTGGTGAAACCATTACAGCTGAAAAGTACTGCCACCAAATCGACGAAATGCACGAAAAACTTCAATGTTTCTGTATTCCAGCATTGGTCAACAGAAATGGTCCTATTCTTCTCCACAACGCCCAACCGACCCTTCAAAAGAACGAATTGGGCTACGAAACTACCTCATCCACCATGCTCGCCAGATCGCTCGCCCACCGATTATCATTTTTTCAAGCATCTCGACTTCTTGCGTGAGAAATGCTTCAAATCCCAGGAACGGCATTCAACAAGTTTGTCGGCTCCAGGACTCCAGAATTTTATTCAACCGGAATAACAAAACTTGTTTCTCTTTGGCAAAAGTGCATTGGATTGCAATGGTCTTTATTTTGATTGATAGTTTTGTTTGAGCTGAGATATGTGCATTTGAATATAATAATTAAAAACCGCAAGAACTTTATTTCCAACCTAATAAATACGGTGCAGTGTTGTGGTATAAGGTGACAAATCAAATACTGGTAGAAGAAACTTATTCCACTCCAACGCATACTGCTGCTATTAATATCAAGAGGGTGCCATGCAGGAGGTACTGTTGGAGCCAAACCAATGGATCTAGAAGTGTTAGAAGATGCTTTAGTAAAGAGTGAGTGAAAAGAAATTTGAGTACCACCTGGCAGACGTTTACGCACAGGAAAAAAGATAAAGAACGATATGCTATCTACTCCCTCCAGGGGCTGCGGTCTGATGTGTCAAAACACACACGGCTGCAGTACTTAGGGGGTTAGCGATCCCGTGGATCCAAGTTCGTAGCATACCTGTGGTCATGTTCCACTTGCCTTAAACGGCCGATTCCGCGAGGATGAGATAACCTCTATAAAAATTCGCTAACCGAATAGCTGAGAGGAATCGCGGCTAGTAGGCAGTTCCCAGGCAAGGACACTGGGAGTTGGACTGGTGGGTGCATCTTTAACACGCTAAACGCCCAGCCTGTTTTACTTGCCGTTTCGTTCACGCTACAGTACACACCGCACAAGAAAGTAAAGAAGGGATCACAATTTTGAAATGGAAAGAAAAGCGTGACGTTCTGTCTGTGACTTTCTACCAAACATTCGATAGAAATGGAAACCATTCGAACAAAGACAAAAATCGTAAGTAAACCAAAAATGGTTATCGACTATAATGCGGGAAAAAAGTCTATTGACCTGTCAGATCAAATGGCTGCATACAATAACTCATTACAGAAGTCAATAAAGTGGTACCGAAAATTAGGTTTCGAACTTTTACTGAACACTGCTGTCGTGAATTCGTTCTTTCTATATCAAGAATCAACAGACCAAAAGATGTGCAATCACATCATATCGCAAAAAATTGATTGACCCACTTACGCAGAAGAAGGACGAACAAATCATGTACAACACATGTACAACACAACAACGATACTGCACAGAATACAGATGTCAGATTCAAAGATGGCGAAGAATTTAACGCAAAAAGTTACAACCTTCTGCAATCAATGTACAAACAAACCTATAGGCGGCGGCCACGCGACGACTTCTGGGTCGTCACCCCATAACAGTTTGTTAGCGATGAAGTGGTTGGACAAAAAAGAAGTATATCTGAATACAACTATGCATACGGCAAATTTTGCAGCCGTGTTTAGATATAGAGGACTACAGAGTGTTGCTAAGCCCGTATGTGTTATTGATTATAATAAATCAATGGGCATAATAGACAAAGTCGATATAGTTACAAGTAAATACAACGCGAAAATTGAAGTGGTACCGAAAATTTTTTTTCCACATGATAGATATTTGTGTGTGGAAAAGAAGAATTCATATTATCTTTATAAGTACAATGGAAAAGAAGTTATTTCTATTGCAAAATTCCACTTACAGTTAATAAAACAAATAGTTGCAAAATATCGGCATAATGTAGTTCGGCGTCAAAGTAGACCGGTTGACAACCCCATGGGGTTGACAGAGCGGCATTTTCCATCTTTTTATAAACCAAGAAATAAAAATCT